AGGGTCAGAAGGATAAGCAGACTCTCCACTGAGCAGGGAGCCTGATTCAGAACTCGATCCCAGGACTCCAGGATCATGACCTGAGCCAAAGGCAGACAATTAACGGACTGAGCCACCCAGGCACCTGACATGTGAAGTTTCTAAATCAGAAGTGATATATTGTGAGGCTTACCTATGTTTTAATATTAATCACAGAGGAATTCATCATGAAAAAGTATACAGTAGGGCACCTGGGTGGCTCAGTTGGTTAAGCGACTGCCTTCGGCTCAGGTCATGATCCTGGAGTCCCAGGATCGAGTCCCATATTGGGCTCCCTGCTCAGCAGGGAGTCTGCTTCTCCCTCTGACCCTCCTCCCTCTTGTGCTCTCTGTCTCTCATTCTCTCTCTCTCAAATAAATAAATAAAATCTTTAAAAAAAAAAGAAAAAGTATACAATATTAGGACATTGCAGAAGACCTACAGGATGTTTTATTTTGGCTTAGTAATGAACAGCACTTTTAGAGAAAGGGGTGGTAAATCCAGCATGTAATAGTTCAATAACATTTTATTCTTCTACTTTGTTTGATGACCCATCATTCTGATTGCAGATGTTCACTGATGTTTGTGAGAGAATCTAGACTACGTTTAAATGATTAAATTACAAAAATAAATTGGTGAGAACTGAGACAGTCAACATGGAGTCAAGAAAAGACTGCTGCTCTTGGGGGTGGGAGGGGTAGGAATCATAGAGGTGGCAGACAGTGAGGAAGTGGGAGGAAAGTTAAATACAGATTTGAATACGGTAACCAGGTAAGATAAAACCAAATGATCTAACTTTGCAAAGGATCAGGAAGATCCCTTTCTTCTGAGATAGCTAAGAAGGGTAACATACATCTTGGGAGGGAAAGTTGAGGGTTGCATAAGATGGTCTTTTTTTTATAGTATTATGCACACATGTAAGAGAAATAACCTATACTGGTCCAACCCCTAAAGTTCTCTTTAACAAATGGATGGATATGTTTCTAAATAGGATAAAGTTGTGGAAGTGAAAAGCCATATTATAAAGTTAAAATGTAACTTTAATATCATGTAATGCATATAAATACAAACATTATCGTATCTCCAGTTAAAACCAAATGCAAAAAGTCCCAATTGTAATTTTTTTAGTAAATATTTATTTTCTTTTTTTAAGTTAAAATTAACAGAGGAAGTATCATAGTATTTAAGATACCTGAATAAAAAGATACATATTTCCCTTCTAACTCTTAACTCAAATCCACCAGGTGGCAGTAAGTTTTTATTCACAAGAACAGTTCATGAAGACTTTAACATTTGTAAAAATCATAAAATTATAGCATGTTTTAAGTGGCTGTGATTCCAGTCAGTCTTTTTCAAACGATGTGTGCACACATGCCCAAACACACACATTATTCCGGCAAGTCTTCACACCTGCCATTGCAGGTCAGTGTTACTTCCACAGTTATTTCATTTACACATTCCCATTTCAGTAGGGTATAAATATTCGTCAGAATGCAGAGAAATTATTTAATATTTGTTTTCCATTTTATTGAATGATTTTTATTTAATGGTATACAAACTTAAAAGTTTTTTTTAATTGCCAATATTCAACAGTTTTGGACCTATTAAAAATGGATATTTCATATATCCCAACCTAATATTTTTCTCTATTCCTTGCTGCCCAACCATACAATTTCCTTCCCTACTTTACAGTGCCTTGTTTGTCAAAGTATGGTCCTGGAATTTGCAGCATCCCCGGAAGCTGGTTAGAAATGCAGAATCTCAGGCCCCATCCCAGACTAACTGAATTAGAATTTTTGTTTTAATGAGATCCTTAGGTGATTGGGCAGCACTCAGTATCAAACCCCTTAAAGATATCTTGTATGCATTCTTTAACTCTTCCTCCACACTCTTGGTTATTAAGAGTTATCGTATTTCACTATTTGATTTGTTTATCTCCCTTTTGTACTTTAAAACACATTATTAAGGCTAATGCTTTGATAGGATTATAATCTGCCACCTGCATTCATAATCTAGGATATAAAGATAATCCTAAAAATCTTCTTTCTAGCATGTTTTACCTTTCATGTATTCATTCATCCATTCATTCATTCACCTCAGGCACTGAAACAGGTGCTGCAAATTCAGTGGTGGACAAAGCACATAGTTCTTGCCTCTTGGAGTTTACCATGTGATGGTGGGGATGTTAGTTAATAAGAAAACAAATGTCAAACAAATATACATGTAACTTAAATTTAGTAAGTAGTATGGAGGAAACAGTGGGCACAACAATATGCAGTAACTGTGGGTACTCTGCTGGGGGGGCACCAGAGAGGTAGGAGAGAGACCTACTTAAAAATCGGGTAGTTAGAACTTTGAGACATGAAGACTGAGGAGCCAGCCATGAGAAATGGTAGGAAGGTGGTTCAGGCAAGGGCACAACATGTGCCAATGCCAGAGAATAAAGAGATTAGCAAGGAATTGAAGGAAACTTCTAAGTGGGAGTGTTATGGGAAAAGGAGAAAATGGAGAACATGAGATTGGAGAGATAGCAAGGGCTAGATGAAACAGTATCGTGACCATGATTAGGAATTTGAATGAAATGGGGAACAAAAGGGTTTCAAGTAGGAACATGTGATTTCATTCATATTTCCAAAAGAATATTCATGCTGCTCTGTAGAGAAAAGATTGAAGGGGACATGCAAGATATTTGAGATACCCAAGAGGAGACATCAGGTAGGCAACTGGACATACATGTATGGAGCCCAAATGAGAGGCGTAGGCTGGAGTTACAAATTTATGAGTCATTTCAACCATTCCTAGGTTCCAACAACAAAATTGTAAACATCTAAAACCACCATTCCTTACCACATAAACTTTATGTAGCAGTTTATAATTTACATTTGATCATCACAATTCTGAGATGCTTATTCTTCTACCTTTACAGATAAATGCTCTGAAGCTCAGAGAAATTATTTAACTTGGTCAGTGTCTCTTAGTTTATTAGCCAGGATTTAAGCCCAGATCTTTGACTACAAAGTCTGTAATACCACCTCATATTATTGTACTTCCCTCTATTTTAAAGGGTCTAGAAACAGTATTAGTAATTGGCTAAACCATGGAGATTTCTTAAACAAAACAAAACAAAACAAAAAAAACCCCACAGGGGCACCTGGGTGGCTCAGCCAGTTGGGCGGCTGCCTTCTACTCAGGTCATGATCCCAGCGTCCTGGGATCAAGCCCCATGTCGGGCTCCCTGCTCAGTGGAGTCAGTGGAGAGCCTGCTTCTCCCTCTTCCTCTGCCTGCTGCTCTGCCTACTTGTGCTCTCTTTCTGTCAAATAAATAAAAATCTTTAAAAAAATAAAAAAAACCCCACAAACTTTCCTTATATTCCCTGTTATACATATCTTAAATTTCCTATGTTCCAATTTACTTTATAATGGTGAAACTAGTAATGCTAATGAAAGGATGGATAAGAGAGGTATTATGAAAGGACACACAGGATTTTGTAACTGATGGGACCCAGGAACTAGGGGAAGAATTTGAGCAAGAGACATAAGAATTACACAAAAGGGATATCATTAATAATAGCCAACACTTAGGAGCAACTGGCTGGCTGAGTCGTTACAGCGTGTGACTCTTGATCTTAGAATCATGAGGTTGAGCCCCACGTTGGGTGTGGAGCCTACTTAAAAAAAAATACTAGCCAACACTTACATGGGATCTCTTATGTACCATGTACTATTACTTACACACACACGTACACAACTACATCTATTTTCTATACCTCAATTATCCCATGAGATAGGTTTGCTATTATCCTCATTTTACAGATGAGAAAAATGAACAGAGAAATAACTTGCTCAAAGTCACGCAAATATTAAGAGGTGGGATTTCAATCCAGGCAGTTTAGTTTCCAATTTTGTATTCTTAACAACTAAGCCATATTGTCTCTATCAAGACATCAGCTAGGAGAATCAGTTTGAAAGAGCGTTGGAAATGCCCAGTTTAAGTAACAGCAAGGTGTATGAGAAGGAATTAACAGAATATTTAAATTATATATATAAATTGTGTTTAGGCTGGGGAAATAAATTTAGGATCTGTGAAACTATGAGGCAGAATGTTTAAGGGAAAAGTAGAATCTGGAAGTTGGCAAAGTTATTAGAAACATCTGATAGTTTTCTTCTTGGAGA